AGCCATTGAAATAAGTTAACTAAATGGTCAGTGACATTAGCTCAACAACTCCTAGTTACTGAGGAATTTGTTCACCAAAAGGATCCAACATCCAGGATATCGAATAACTTGGTCACCACCACAACGACAATTTGCATTTATGTAGCACCCTTCACTCGGGAAACATCTCAGAGCATTTAATCAAAAGACATCAGAGTCAAGATTAAAAACAGTAACAAAGACGTGAAACATCTGGCAGAGCTTTGTGCCAAGCTACCATTTACAATTAGAAATAACAAAAATCAAGTTTGGTTAAAAATATGATTAATGTAGCCCACATGGGTCGAGACATTGATTGGTAACTCCCAAAAACTTGGAATCACTTTCTATGCAAATGTTTTTTTGTTCCATCCAAGTGCAGACTGAGCAAAGTCATTTATGAAATACACATCTTTGTTACGATTGGAAGAGATCCTGCGTCATCTCATTCCAGCCATGTGTTCTTCCAGGTCAGCAGGAGAGTTAGAGTTCACAGTGACTGTCATTGCCTGCAGCATGCTACGTCTCAGCTGATGGGTGGGGACAAACGGTCCACCCACATTTTAAGTGGCAACTGGTGCTATATAGACTCTTGCAGCACAGAAGGAAGCCATTTGACCCATCGTGTCTGTACCAGCTCTTTGAAACTATACAACTAGTCCCACTCCCCTGCTCTTACTCCATAGCCCTTCAAATGTTTCCTTTTTAAAGTACCTATCCAATTTGCTTTTGAAAGCTACTATCAAATCTGCTTCCATTACCCTTTCAGGCTCCGTATTTTTCCAATTAAAATTAGATCCGTCTTCCTCTTGCCAATCCCCCTTCCTCTCCTCCTCCTCAAGATATTGGACTCCCTTTCTTGTTCCACAGACACAAGCCAGCCTCCAGAACCTCAGCCAAGCAACCATTATTCACCTGTGACTTTGACACTGAGTGTCAGCAGGCTCCATAGGAGGGAGTAGAAGGAAGAGTTGAGAGCATTGCAGCCAAGTTTGATCCTATCTTTGTATTATCTCAGGTGGATGTTAAAGCTCCCATGGCTCTATTCATAAAAAGAAGGGAGTTTTTCCTGATGTCCTAACCAACAATCCCCCAAATAAAATTGATCATTTAGTTCATAGACAATGCCGTGCATAAAACTAGCTGCTGCATTCACCCATTTTACAGTAAACAAATATATAGCGCCCTTCACACAGGACAGTGTTCTGGAGCGGGGTAGCTGCAAAACGCTATCCCGCATGAAGGGCTCCATATAAATGCAAGTTGTTCTTGTAAATCCTGTGAAGCACTTTGAGATGTCCTCCTGACATTAATTCTATTGTAAAAAAGCAATAGAATTAATTGCTAAAAAAACCCAATCATGGACAGGTTTTGTGGTAACCAAATTGATTTTGTTTTGCTGCGTAACAGCAAAGTTTATAAGGATACAAAATACATATTTTTAAACAAACAATGCAAACCCTTTTAATTCACCTGAGGGCAAAGTGGACTAATTCTAAGTAACAATCTAATTTTGAAAGAACATATTGTGTATGCATAAATCTTATACCATCTTGAGATATGCTTGTACATCTAACATGATGGAGTTCCAGGTCCTCTCGCTTGCCTCACAAGTGAGAGGACCCAGGTTTGATTCCCGGGTGGGGTGTAACCTTAGTCAAGTTTCCTTATTCCACACACCTCTGTTTACTAGCAGTAAGTAGGAACCCAGTCTTTAGTTGATTTGCAGATCACTTTCCAGGAGTAATAATGCCTTCAAAAATATTTTTTTAAATTAGGTCACTCAATCCATGATAAAGCCCAAGTTTGTGGGCTACGTTTCATCCACGGAATACACAGTCAACTTACTTTACAATATATTATTATATGAAGCGCTTTGAGACATCTCAATGATGTGATAAGGCTTTATATCAATACAAGGATTATTATAATGATAGAACTTGACACAGTTCATTGGGAGAGACCACAAGCAGCCACAATGCTTTCCACATAGAAAGTGATCCGCCAATTAACTAACAACCATGATCCTATTTACTGCTAGGTAAACAGGAGCTGTGGAGTAAGGAAATTTGCTTAACATTTCGCTCTGGCTGGGAATCTAACCAGAGTTCCCCAGCTTGCGAGTGATCTAACCAACGTGCTGTAGGACTCTGTGATCTGAAGGACAGGTTGGGAGGTGGGGGTTCCTCTAGCAAACCTGCAGCTTATTTAGTGGTACAGGGAGCCATCACTGAACACTGCAAAATGTTCACGTGATCAAAAGAGGGTGGTGTAGTCCAGGTGGAAAGATTTGCTCCCTCCCTCATTTCCTTCAAGGTTAATCCCAAAACCTACCTACCTCTTTGACCATGCATTTGGTCATCTTTCCCTGGGCAAGCTAATAGCAAATGTTATTAAACACATCTCAATTCCTGCTGAAATGAATGAAGCCTACTTTGACAAGCTGATGGTAGCATGAGATCACTACCAACACGCAATGAGTTACTCTTCAGGCATTTCAGTTACTGACTTCTGTGTGAGGCCAGCAACAGTACTTTTGCTGCAGTGCACGCTGAGCTATGTGCTCACTAGGATTTATCAATATCTGGGAAGAAAAGTAAGTGAGCCACTACAGGCCATGCTTACTATTGCCAACTTGTGATAACAAGGATTTTCATTATATCTCTGCTTCATCCACTAGTCTCCTGCTCATTCCTCACCATTCCTCTCTCCTACCAATTGTAGGTGGACTTTCAGCCACTCTGTCCCCATACTTTGGTATGTTCTCCCAAAATCCCCTTGTTTTGGGACTTCCCTCGTTCTTCAAATCCCTTCTTTTTTTAAATGATGCCTTTGGCCACCTTTTCAACTTCCTTCTCCTTGTGAAGTCCTGTAGCGTATTAGTCAGAGCACTCGCCTTGTAAACAAGAGGTTTGATTCATGGGCAGAGGGAAACTTTAGGCAAGTTTCCTTACTGCACACGCCTCTGTTTACCTAACAGTAAGACGGAACCTGGTTGTTAGTCGATTGACAGATTGCTTTCTGGGGGTAATAATCCCTTAAAAAAATGTTTTGAATAATAATAATAATTTGATCTCTCAATCCACAATGGTTTGTGGGACACTGCTATTCTGTGAATCGCTTTGAAACATCTCAACATGATGAGATACTATATCAAATGCAAGGATTATTATTATTCCCTCCCGGTTCGGTGGTCCACATCCCCTTTGCAAAGAATTTGGGGATGTTATTCTTCATGGAAGTTGCTATACAACTGAAAATTGTTTTATTATACTGGGATGTGTCGGAAGCTTCAAGATACTGGTTTAGAAAACTGAGCTTTCTTAGCATGCCATAACTGAAAGTGCATTACATTGTATCTGAACCCTAAAGTTCACTTAAAATAAAACTGGAACATAGTCCCCCACTTATTTTCGTTGGAAGTACAAAAAAAGTTTTATTACAATCTGAACCTAGCAATGAACTGCACAGTCTTTTAAACACATTTCCTTCTGTCTTTACGTGTCCTCCAAGCTGTTTGCTATGTTCTGCAGCCTTTGAATTCCAATGCACTTCCTGCTGACTTGGCCATAAATATGAGAATGGAAGAACTCTAAATAGCTGATGGTTTGGTTATTTACCAAGTTCCTTTCCATTTTTAGTTACTGTGGAGACTAAAAGGAATTCTTTACAAATTGTGTCAATTTAACATGCGTGCGTGCGTGCACACACACACACACACAATACACATACCTCAGCCCCCTCAAAATCAAAGTTAAAAGTTTGAAAACTATTTCAAAAATTAAATAATAGAGGGTAGCATTAAAAGTTAAAATTGTGGTCTTTTTTTAAAAAAAATCTGATTACAATTAAAGAATGTGAATTAAAAGATTATTGGGACATGTTTTTGATCGCTCCATCCATTGGAAAGGGCTAAATGTTTAGAAAAATATGCTGTGTGGTGCAGAGTCCTGCCTGATTACATCAATCAATCTGTTACAAAGTCGTATTTCATAACAGTTTTATAAAAATAAATTTAAAAACAAAACAAACCTCATTTCCCTTTTAAAATGATTGAATCTCATTAAAAGGGCCAGACATTTTCATTCCCTCTGTTAGCAATTTGATTGTTCTTTTTACAAACTGCGCTGCCAACCTGGCAAATTAAATCAAGTTCTCTCTCAATAAAACAAACAATAGTGGTGGGCTTGGTATGAGAGAGTCCCAGTCGTTCTGTGCAACACACTACAGTAAATGGACGCTGTTTGAACTTTCAATGACTGAAGGTTCCCTGCTGATTGCCTGGACTGTGTGACTGCTTTCTGGCTGCCCCCACTCAAACCATATGTGTGTTATTTTTTTATAATATCACCACAATCTTATATTTTGTTTTGCAAATGTTGTGACTCCAACAGAATGTCACCCCTTACCCTCATGAAAGGGCACATTATACTCCAAAAATGACAAAAAGTCACACGCCATATAAATATGAAATAATATTTACATAGGAAAATAATAAATACATATGAAAAAGAAGCTCATTAACAACCGAATATGCTTGCTTCCCTGGGAAAGCACCGTGAGTGACCTTCTCCAAACATTGTTCACCTAACCTTATAGTCAAAAGGGCAAGAGGGAGCGCAGAGAAAAGGTTCTGTAGGCACCTCAGTGTGTAAAGGAAACGTTTTCACAGTGCTTTTGACAGAGTGTCTTTTTAATTTAGAGGTCTGAGGCGAGCAGTGTTAAACCTAACTCTATTGTGGTAACACGGTTTAGCAAGCCCACCCAGCTGGGCCGTCAAGTTATCTCACTCTCTTACTTTCACTCATATCCACACAAAACACAATTGAAGTCTGATCTAATGTCTCCTCTGAAGCAGTCTGCACCCGTCCCCACACTCCACTCTGACCCAGCACCCCCCTATCACTGACGCTGACCAGTCCACCCTTCCACACTCTGATGTTACCCCTCACTCTGATGCGTCCCCTGTTTCATGTACTCACCCTTTTGGATCAAGGAGGTCCCGGACTTTTTCGTTGTAGATCTCCATGTACGATACTTCCACTTTAAATGTGTGAGATTCACACTCTTCTTTCGAGACTCTTTCGAACAAAGCACCACATAGACGGGGAATAAGGCCCGGCTGCTCGACGTTGCCCATCATTGAGAAAGATTTTCCTGAGCCTGCGAACGAGCAGAAGAAAAAGGACTGAAATATTTCGCGGAAGTACCACAATGCATGTTTGTACAGCACCTATCATGCAAAAACATCGGCTCAAAGTATGTTTACAGAATGAGATTAATAATAATAATCCTTGCATTTGATATAGTACTTATAATAACACAAGGAAAATAACTTGCATTTATGAGGCACTCATCATGTAGGATAAAAAAATCCTTACATTTGATATAGCATCTTTCACCACGGGAGAACGTCTCAAAGCTCTTCACAGGATTTACTGTAAAGTTCAGTTAATCTGTATTTTGCAGGCGAATGCAGTAGCCAATTTGCACCCAATAGTGCCACACAAACAGCCATGAAGTGAATGGCCAGTTTTGTCTGGGGGATTGAGAGGGGGCAAGATGGAGTGGTAAAGGGAGGGGGTTCCAAAGAGTGGAGTCATGGTTGATGAAGGCTTGGCCAAGACAGTGAGGGTAGGGGACATGCAGCAGGCTCGAGTTTGCCTAGTGGAGGGAGCAAGCAGAAAAGTGGGGCAGAAGTTCACAGAGATAGGGTGATGCCAAGATGTGAAGGGATTTGTTGGTGAAGGTGAGGACCTTGAAGTGCTCCAAGATGATGTTATTGGCATGTTATTATAAATCTTGTAATCGAACCAACCCTCCGCGGTGGTCTCGATAAACCAGATCCTGATCCAGGTGGGTCTGCAGTTCTCCAGTGCACTGCTGATGACAGCACAGCCAGCCTGGCTCATTGGCAGAACTTGGGAGGGGCAGACCAGTCACTGGGAGTAGAGATTATTCCCATTGTTTGTGCTAATGGGTAGGGTGGTCCTAGTTGTACGAGGAGCAGGAAAGCTTGCCAGACAGTGATATCAATAGCAAGCTATGCGGTTTTAGTGGGATAGATTCCACCAGAGAGATTGTTGCAATTTATCGAATCAGCCGCCTCTCAGAAATTGCAGCAGTAATATGTGACACCGCTTACCTGTCTGCCCGTAGGCAAAGATACATGCATTATAACCTTGAAATGCATTCTCAAGTATGCCTTCACCAAGGCACTTGAAAACAATTTCTTGACCTAAACCAAAAGAAAGAAAAACACATTTAGCATCGACTTAACCTCACATTTCAGATTTCAAGTAAATTCACTGAAGAAATGGAGCATTTCACAAACTACAATTTCAATTTTGCATTAAAATCAAAATAGTTCTGTTCTGGACTATTTTGGCTTTAGTCCCTGGTTGAGATCTGAAATTACTGGCATGTGAACTGATGTATTTATTTTCTGACCCAAGTGAGCTTGCCAATTCTCATCGGCCAGTGTAAATTTGGGATTAAGCTGAAGCTTGACAAGATATAGAGCAAAACTTCCTCTCCTCTGCTGCAACAGTGGATCACAAATCCGCAAACCCATCAGAGAGTATTCAATCACAGTTAGACAACCAGATACGTGCAGCCCAATGTTATTCTGGGGCAATCTTCATCAGTTGCAGCTCAGCACGAATCTAAAACTTGAGTCATTGGGTCCTTAAGTATAACATACTGAGGCCAAAATACAATCTACCACAAAGGTCACCCACAGAACCAAACCAAAACCTACTCTACAATGTTCACTTGGGTCCCAAGAAGTTATGCTAACCCACATTAGGGAGGCAGCCTTACTGGGCTCTGATGGCTTTCAAAGTACATTAATACCTTTAACCACATGGTTTTAGTCCATGCCAGACTGGAGGGGTGAATGCCTTTACCTTCTGCAATGGTGCTTAAGGAATGGGTGGATCAACTGGTGGTTGTTTGTACAAAATTAGCACTCAACACTCAGTTGCTGACCTCATTCCCAAGACGACCTTGTGGTGGCTGCTGTGGGAAGTGGTAAATTCACTGGTGGGCAGGAGGAAGCACTTTTCCATGGGTTGCCAGAGTTTCAGCAGAGTGGAGGAAACTTTACTCTGTACCTTGTCAGACTGTACCTTAATCCCACACTGACAGTGGAAAAAGTAAACAGTAGTCTAGCACTGAAACCCTTCATTTCCAGTCAGAAAACCAATGCGTCAGCTCACAGTGCTTCCACATCAGTGCTCTCCTCAACAAACATGATTGTGTTGGAAACATTGCAATGACAGAATACAGAGGCACCATTTATTTTTAATGTGTCTCAACACAGCACTCTTGTGGCTATTATACAAATAGACCAAAATTCCCAAACTGGAAAGGGATCCAGCCATAGTAAGTGAACACAAACCAGACCCTGACGCAAGGGAGGCTAACCTGGCATAGACTAAATACTTTGAGAGGCAAAATTAGATACTGCATAGAATACAGGTTATGATCAAATCTTAAGATCACTTAATTTTCCGGCTCTAAAATTAAACTGAACAAATGCAGAAATATTGAAAGATGCAATACAGACTATCTTCGCTAATATATACAACACAGCCTATCAGATAAATACATAAAATAGTACTAGGGAATAATAGTTAAAAAATGCTCACTATTCACTTCCCCTATGAAGTCACTGAATGTTGTACTCATGAACTATGCAGAATTTGGAGAAAATGAAAAGGCTGGGGGGTGAAAAGAGGAAAGAAAGGAATAAAATAATTGTTGTTGCTTTATCCATTCTTCAATGCACTGCATTTATTATAAGCAAATTAAACCTTCAGATCCATATTTTTAGGAAGATCTAGTTCTAAGTGAGTGGTATCTTAAACATGGCGAATATGGAAAACAAATCAAAATTTCAAAGGAAGCCATGATTTGTTCTCAGTTCAAATCCATTGATCATGTTTTCCAATCTGTGGAAACCTTCTTATCAAAGTTAAGCACCAGCTGTGTACGATGTACTGAACCCAGGTGTTTCACCTATTCGAAAATGCCACATTTAAATCAAAGTGGGGTTTACAAATAGACAGGACAGCCTCTGCCTTACACAAGTATTAACAAATGACATTCTTCCTAACAAGCCATGGGGCATATACATAAGCACAAACCACTATCTCTTTGTTCATTGTATTTGCCTAATAAACTATACGTTAGAAGATCAGGAAATTCCCATCAAGACTGGACTTATACTCTGACCTGCTGATAAGTCCACAGAGATCATTGTTGACTCACTCACTGTTTCCCACAGAGCTGAGTTTCTGAAATGCCAATGAGGAGTTAAACACTTTCCAAACCATTTGCTTATTTCACGATCATTGGCACATGACAATGGAAAAGTGCCTCACAGGCCAGCATATGTACAGAAGAGAAATAGGCGTTTTATTGCCAGGCCCACAATGAATCATCACAGCCCAGGGAGGTTTTAAGGGGCCAGTGAGTGCTTTGGAAAGCAGACACTTTACTTAACCTCTGACCTGCTCTGAGGGTGGTTTTCAAAGAACACAGAATGCAGGAAATTCCAAACAAAACAAGACACAAACATAACTAGACCAGGGCAAAGACAACATCCTCATTTGCAGAATAGAAAGTTGCTTGAAATCACACACACACACACACTATAATTTGACGTACTTGAGCTGCATCCCTTGGGAATCTCTGTTGTTCCTGCAAATCCACATCACTCATCATAAAAGATGGCCCCAGAAATGATTGACAGACTTCTCTTGGGGAAGCCAAACCTCCCCCATGTACATGTGCACACTGGATCTCTGCAACACATCCATCTTTATCAAGTACTTAATGCAATTACACTCCAAGGCACACGGGTCCATTTTTTCCTCAAACAATACAACGGATTCCAATTACTACTAAATTGCCTAAAAAATGTCACTCTAAATTATTCCAAGGGCACATGTCCTAGCCACCGAGGGTTTTGTAAATGTAATCTTTCATTTACATTGACGTTTCTAAAATTGGAGCGCTTTTCAATTACAGTGTCATCTGGTTTGCAAATGATAGTGTGTCNAAAAAAATCTACATTTAGTTGTGAAACAGTCCGTTGCCATTTCCCAGTTGCTACAGCTACTCTTTCCGCTGGATTGGTAGATGAACTGATGATGGCTGGAATTGGACTAGTTGACACGGTAGCACAAATTATGTTAAGGTTTTTGCCCAGCAATGGACGAATGTGAGAGGAAAGAAGCAAACCTTAGCCAGGTAAACAGCAGTTAACTTACTATGGCAATCTCTCAATTTAGATCTATCCATTTGGTTGGAGTTTTCTTTTAGAAAACACACAAAGTAGCTAAGAAAAAACAACGGGATAGGAGCTAGGATGAGGGCTTTGTTCAGTGATGGGATTTGTGGAGGGATTACTCACCCCAACACTAATTTTTGATCTTGCCAAAATTGCCAGCTCTGTGATTTCAGACATTGATGTTGTTTACTAATATAGATTGTGTTTATCCAATTTGATTTAGACACAGGCACTGCCGAAATCTCCCACAATACAAGCCTTCTTTGTACTGTATTACATTTTTGTACTTACAACCCCAGCGGAAAAATCGTCCAGACAAATTGAACTTAAAAAGCCTCTCAATTTAAGAGAAACAATCCAAAGCCAGGTTTCACCTACCTACACTCAATTCCTGTGAATTGGTTGTCATGTGAAACATTTAGGACAGAATGTTCACAAGCAATTGTATAAAATCATTTCTACTTTTTGACAGGTAATGTATATCAATTTTAATATCTTAGAAAATAACTACAGTAACATAAAAGTAGCATTATGAGACAATGTATTAAGTCACTAAAATCTTCCAGGCAATAATCAATCCATTGGGAGCTGTGTAGCAAGAGATTCAAGAGATTTTATTACTAGCTTCACTCTGAATTTCTGAAATAAACGCTGTCCTGTACTCCAAAAAAACATATTAAAATGCCAAAAATCAACTATAGATTCTAATTAAAAGCACCACTTGTAAAAGGTATCCAGTGAACGAGAGAAGAAACTAAAGTAGATTTACTTAGCGTTGCACTGAGCACAAGGGGTGCTATTCTTACCAATTAGTAAAATGACTAACCTTGGTAATGAACATGTCACACTCTTCACCAGTCAGTATTTACAGACTTTGGCAGTGCACACTTATAATGGGAATAGAATTTAATCACTCAGACTACAGAGGATAAAGTCATCCTTTCACAGAATGTTTTGCCCCAATTTCGTTTAATCAAACTTTACTCATCGAGTTCCTATAGATGTTCCAAATATCACACATCATGGAAGGCTGTGGCTCTGAGCAGCTCCTTATGCACCTCATTCAATGGAAACATTCAGGAGTTAGCGGAGCCACTTTATAAACAAACGCGAAAAATAAAAAACGGCATTGTAAACAAATCGTGCTAAAACTACTGCTTTGTGCGTAACAAAACAACAGTACGTTAAAACCCAATTGTAAAGTGAGATCACCCTTATTCTTAGAAAACTTACTTCAAACTATTATTTCAACCTAAGACTACATTCACAGTCAAGAACACATATCATAGCAGGTCAATGGTTAGGGAATATAACAGAATACAGTAATAGAGCTATAGTATCAGATATGCTGTAATGGAAATGTTTTTAAAATTTCATGACCTGATCTATTTTTACCTTTTTCTTTCTTTAACCTACTCTTTTTCCAAAGCTACAGTATTCAGCCCATCATACCCCTAGCGGACTAATTTGTGGTCAGTTATCCAAGTTGTAAATCAACTTTTTGTGATGCTATTGCTCCTCATTTTAAAATCTGGCTCTCAGCCTGTATATACACCTGTATCCATCTCGCAGCTTTTAAACAACTCCAGCAGTAAATGAGGGCTTAAAAACAATAGTATAAGATTTGTGGTCAGTTCAGCAGGGAGACAAAGATGTCAATGGACATTAATTATAACCACAAACGTTTACAATTAAGAAAGATCAGTCACATGGGTTTCATTAAAACATGTCCGAGCATTTGTTACTTAGGAGAAAGCAATGGCAATGAATTGAAACAGCCAAGTCAAGCCACAAACCTGGCAGATTAAAATAATCAAACGATCGTTAGACAAAGGCACTGCTATTATTTCATAGTTTGGATCTTATATTATAGAGCAATAACTAGACAAATCGCACAACAAAAAACATGCATGCTCAGGATCCAGGGACCACAGAAACAA